TGGGGTGGTGGGTGGGGGTGGATGGAGGGAAACTGGGGACATTGGTGGTGAGAAATGTACATTGGCAAGTGGATGGGTTTTAGAACATTGTATTATGATTGAAACCAAATTATGAGCAATTTCTTTACTGCTTCTCTTGGTGGTTTAGTAAACAAACAACAAAGTATACCTGGGAACTGCTTACTCCCCCTTTCTGCTCCTGTTTCCCATAGGACATTCTTTCTGACAGATGCATTTTCAGGTGGCAAGCATCCTCTCGAAATATATCTTAGTTTCTTAGTACGAGAAATGCCTTGAATTTCAGTATTGTCTCTGCAGCCTGCTGACAAGTAGGCTCTTTGAAGTCAGACTGAAGGCCTGTTTTTAATTATTTTATTTTGGCCATTTCTATGCTGCATTTGGTTCTCTTCTTTTTTAATTGATTAAAATTCTGTGATTTATAATACTGTTAATGATGGTTTCCCGGTGCACATAATTCCAGTATTGCATCCATCACCAGTGTACCTACCTCCCTCTCCCAAGGATCCCAGCATGCCCCCCCACACACACATACACCAACTTAGTTGTGTGGATTAGTTCTTCTGTTGTGTTGCTTTTGCCCTTTGTTGCTACTTTTTATGTGTTTTTAAAGTCCCACATAGAGAGAACTCATTCTCCAACTATCCCTTTCCTTCTGACTGACTTTACTCAGCTTGATATCTTCCAGTCCCATCCATGTTGCATGATTTTGTCCTTTCTTACAGCTGTGGAGTATTTCATTATGTATATATACCACAGCTTTTCGGCATTTGAGTTGTTTCCCAAATGTCTTGACTACTGCGCTATGTTATGATGAACATGGTGTGCATATATCCTTTCAAATGAATGTTTTGTGTTGGTGGGATAGATGCCAAAAAGTGGTATCACGGGATTTTATGGTATTTCTCTATTTTCAGGATAGATTACTGTATGCTTTGCATAGAAACTGAACCAGACAACATTCTTACCAAATTCCTTTCTCACTACAACCAATGGTTATTTCCAAAACTTTTGATATATGCCATTCTCAATGGCATAAGATAATATCTCATTGTTATTTTGATTTGTATTTCCATAATCATGAGTGACAGTGAACACTTTTACATATGTGAACCAGGCCTGATTTTGCCTGTTCCTTTCCAAGCACAGTGTGAGCGTATGTGCATTTTCACGGTTCACGCCTTTTATTTGCCCAGTGGGAGAAAGAACCTGGCAGGTGTCATGGTGAATAGGAGTGCACAGCAAACACTATTAAAATAACATCAAGATGTCAACTCTGTAGGTCCTTTTTTTCTCTTTGGGATGAGATTCCTCATACTGAGTTTTCATTGCACTTTGCAGATTTCTAAGTATTTTTTACTGTTGAATCCAACTGTTGGTCCTGCAAGTAGGAAGAGGGGATTTTTCATCACTTGTTGTCTAAGGAGTGGTTTGTCTTGGGAATTTTTTTAAATGTGTAGCTGGAAAAATGTGTAGCTTGGAAAAATGGATAACTGTGGGTTGAAATTAAAATCCCACTGTTTAGCTGCTGAAAGAGGTATGTCAGCAGCACTTAAAAATCTTATTTCTGTAAACTTCAAGTTTGCCAGGCCAGGGAACATTCTGACCTTTCCTGCAGCCATAGTTGTTTTTTTTTTTTTTTGCCTCTGTAAGCAGAATCTCACGGCTCTGGGTGCTGTTCCTGTTATCCAACCATTTCTTCTATCACTGGGACTCATTTTGGAGGTTTTTCCTGACCTCTGCTCGGGCATCTACCCTCGCTTTTGCTTCCCTCACCTTCAGTGCACCAGGTGCTGGAGAGGGACTGCCCCTTCCCTGGAGACAGGGAGTCAGATGAAAGGAAGAGACTCTGTGTTCTGGAGGCTGGGACAGTGTTGGACTTGAATTTAGCTCAGGGGGTGAAAGAGAAGCCAGGAAGCCATCTTACTGGAAACCCAGTAATCAGCTACTCAAGACCTAAGGGATTGAAGCAACAAAGATTTTATTTACTCCTGGATTCTGCACTGGCCTAGCTTGGTGGGTTATTGCACTGCCTCACACAGTGGCTATGGAGGTCACTGGGTGGGGAGCAGTGGATGGACGGGCTGGACCATTCTGGTCACTGATCATTATCAACATCTCTGAAGTTTTTCTTGAAACCTCCAACTCATTTCCACTGATGATACTTTGATTAGGCTTTAACAGTTCTGAGACTATTGTAATAAATCACCACTAAAACAGTGGCTTAAAACCGCAGAATTCTTCTCTCAGTTCCGGAGGCATCATGCCTGATCAGGAAGTCTTGGCAGATCCTCTCTATTTTTGAGGCACTGGGAGACCTGTCCTTATCATTCCCAGCACCTGGGGGCCCCAGATGGTCAGTGATGGTCTAACTGTCATCTACGCTGTGATCCCTGCGTCTCACTCAGGCCTGTCCCTTCTCTACCCTAGTACCAGGCACTTTTGCCAAGGAAATTAAGATCCACCAACAATCTGGAATAATCTTGCCTTAACTACATCTGCACATCTTTTTCCTCAGATGTGGTCACTTGCACAGATTCTGGGATATAGATGTATCTTTATCTTTGGAGGGGTCACTCTTTGCCCCATTCCACTCCACTCCACCCAGGTTGGTGTGGTTCTCCCATCTGATCCTTGTGACTCAGCTTTGGATCCATCCTGCCCTGGGATGCCCTCTTGATTCTTTTATCCACTCTTGTTTGTCCTTTGCTTCAATCCTGCCCTATTTCCTTAGCCCTTTGCTGTGAAAAACCCTTCCCCTCAGCGTTCTCCCCGTTGTATCTGACCCCGACTGCCCTCACCCTCCTTATCTGCGGCTTCTCTCTTCTTGAACTTGATGCTTTCCCAAGCACTAAACTAGTAACACTGTTAACACTCTTTGCCTTTGAACTCTGTTGCCTCGGTGCCCCATTTATTTTTGTTTCAAGGCAGTTCAAGCAGTGACTCCTCCCTCTGAGAGGGTATCCCTCTCAAAGTGCTCTGTGCTCCTTCTGTATCTTGTGGCTTGTTGTTCTTCTTTTTTTTTTTTTAATCAGACTTGTTTTCGTGTCTTTGCTTTCAACCAGAGAGCCATTTTGAAGACAGAAAAGTCTGGTTTTTATCAACGTATCCCTGGTACTTGGCATTATATAAATACTGAATGAGTGACCACGTCACTTAACCTAATTAAACATTTGTTTCCTCCTGACTCTCCCCCTTGCCCCATTACCCTAATTTCCAGTAAGACATTTTTTCCCTCTCATTTCATCTTGAGGTGGAAAGCATGCCACTGATAAGTAGACTTCCCTGTTGCTTGCCTAACTTGCAGTATTGATGCTCAGGCAGTCTTGGTGCCTGTGCTTCCCAACCTCTTCAGCCCTCCACGGGGCCTGATGGCTTGATTCCTGCCCCAGCTTTATGTTTCCCAGGATGAAGACGTTATCAGCCAGTTTGGGCTCCAATATGATGGAAAGGGTGCAGGCCTGCTCATCCAGATGTACTGTTGGGGCTGCTACGGGAAGGTCATATTAATTCCCAAGAAGAGGGCATCTCTGTGAGCAGATCCTTCAAAAGCGTCTGCCTTACAGGGCCCCCTTCTGCTGACCAGCAGTTTTTTTTTTTTGGGAAATGTGCCAGTCAGCAGACTGCTGGGCATGTGGAAGGGGCACAGGAAGCCTCCCTCCATTCTACGGCTGTAGGCCACTGTGGTGGAAATGATCCCCTGAAAAGTTTATAGTTACCAGCTTTCATCCACATATATTTTCTTTTACCCTAGAATATTCATCTTGATATAAGTAACAGGGAAAAGATACTGAAGACAAACTGGGTCTGTAATGATTGTTTGCTCGTGGATACACTCATGATCATAGTGATCCCAAATATGTTCAAGGAAACATGATTCTGATCTTGCTGCAGAAAAAGGAGGCAAGACTTGAAGGATCTCTGCTGTCAGACTCAGAGTCATTTTTATGTGGCTGTCATTTCTTTGTGATGGAAGTGGAACATTTAAAAACAAAGCAGAAATAATTTCTGGTCATAATTTAAATCCAGTGTCCCTACTGGAGCTACTGAATTGTAAAACAAATACAGAAAACCCTTTGGCGCTACCTTCTGTTGTTCTCAGGTGGGCCTCAAACCCTTCCTTGCAGTTGGGAACCATGCTCTGCTGGGCATGATGGAACACAGCCAAGACAAGACTGCTGCCCCTGATTTGGGTGTTCTGAGGGAGCGTGGGGCTGTCCTGTTTGTCTAGGGAAATTGTCAAATTGAAACGCCCACTGAACATCTGCGGTGTCTTTAAACACAGCCTTTAAAAATTACCTGCTCTACTTAAGGTTTTAGTAAAGAAATCTGCTAGGGACATAAGCTCTTTTTCCATTGACAAGTTATTTGACAGTAGGTGAACTAGAGCTTTAGTGGGTGGGGAGCTTTTAATGGGTAGTGTTCTTGGAGATTTATAGTTCATGTTTGATATTTTTGTTTCTGGCCAAAAGGAGAGGTTTCATGAAGTAATGGGAAGGATCCAGAACTTTTAAGAATTCAAATGACCAAATTTGATATTCTGTCAAGTGAATATCCTAAAAGATACGGTCTCAGTGAGAGATGGGGTATAGTTAGTGAGCTGGTCTCTAGTTCATTTAAAAATGTTCCTTGGGGATTTTTCTGGGGTCCAGAAGAATGGCATTTGCTGAATGGAGCCAGCCCTCATAAGGCCTCTGCAGAATTCTCATTTGCTTATTTATACCCTGTCTCTTTTTTAAAAAGATTTGAGTAGTATGGCTTTATGGAACAGGAAACCTATAATTACTCTGTACATCACTCTTAAATTAAGTTTCTGGAAGTGATTTGAATTTCATTACAGTTGAAGTCTGTTTTGCAGCCCTTTGCTTTTGTGGGTTATTGAACAGGCAACTTGTGAGGACCATGTCTGTCTTTCCCCTGTTCTTCCTCAGGTTTATTCTTCAGGAATCCACCAATTAATGAATTATTTCTTCTCTCTCTAGGTACAATGGTGCTCTGCCTAATGGAGACCGAGGACGGAGGAAAAGCAGATTTGCTCTTTATAAACGGCCCAAGGCTAATGGAGTCAAACCCAGCACCGTGCATGTAATCTCCACACCTCAGGCATCCAAGGTAGGAGCCAGCAGGGCAGGTGGGCAGGGCCATTAGCCAACTGAGATTCTCCCTTAATCCTCCTCAGTGTTGCCTTCCTCTCAACCACCTGAGGTCAGAACATCCTTTGTTGTCAAGGGCTTTGTTCTGTTGGACAATAATAGCCTCGGCCCAGTAGTATGTCATCCTGCTTTCATGAAGCAGCCATCTTCACAATCTTTCCCCAGATTCTCACCCTCCAGATTTTGGCCAGTGTGCTCCGGGGTGTGGATACGTCAGCTCTTTAGAAACCCTTGCTTTGGGGCAGGTGGAAATGGTCTAGATCAATTTAAACAATTTAGAATAGTTGTGGCTAAACAGCAGCTGATGTTTGTGATCCAGGAGAGTTTGGGTATTAAATCTTGGTATAAACCTCGTTAAGATTTGTTATTTTCCTTCTGTCAGTTGAGTGTGGTAATTTCACATAATCTTGAATATACATGAAATTAATTTTTTGTAGTTATTAGAACGATTAGAAGTAAACAGAGCTAATTCCTCTCAGAAGTTTGAAGTTAAACAAAGTTGATTTTTTTTATGATTATGTCATATATTTTCTGAGATCAGTGTCTGTGAAGGATATCTTAGCCTCTACTCTGGTTGATAAATTCTACCTGTTAGATTTGTGACAATTTTCCCTTTAGTTAAATTCTAAAGTGTGTAATACTGCTTTGTTTTTTTATGAAATAGACATAAATATATAAAATATTATGCCATACTAAATATATTAACTACTATATATAACATATTGTATTTATTACATTATATAAAGTAAACATAAGGTGCTTCATATGAGGTACATGCTTATACATGCTTATTTACCATAATGGGTTTAGACCATCTGGAATAAATAAGAATTTGATTTCTAATTTTCACTGAAAACCTTTGTTCAAATAGAAATGAATTGGCTTCATGGGACCACATGTGGTATTTATACTCAGTCTTAGAAACAGATCACCTTTGTTCATGTTTTTATTAGAAAAGCATCTGTTGTTCCTGAATCATGCCCTAGAAAAATTTTGCTAGGATGTACCAATTAAGATGGTTTTGTTTTAGAGGTTAGGTATGAAAATACTGAACACCAAAGAAGCAGGAAAAGAGAGATGGATCATTTGCAGCCAAGGTTTTGATCAGGGAAAGGGAAATAAAGAGATTTAAGAAAGGAAAAGACACTTTGTGCAGAAAAAAGGAAATTAGCCTCACAAAGGAGTCTGAGAAAAGAAGGATGTGAAATAGCAATAGAATGTTTAGAGCCTGTCAGTCCAAATGTATTGGTGAAGAACACCCAGACAAAGGATTTTAAGGATGTGATGAGTGGCAGAAATGTTCTGATCATAGAGAAGCTTCCAGAAAAATTGTGTTCTCTGGATGTCAGTTTCTTTATAACACAAATGTGTTGGCTGTAGGCGGGGACCATGTTGAATCAGGTGAGCATCACAAATGGTTCTGGCTTAAAGTAAATGCAAAGATTGAGAAATTGTTTAAGACTAGCATAGGAAAAACTCTTAGACATGGGGGACAATTGTGAGTAATCCAGTTGTAATAATCAGATTACCAATAGGAGTAAACATGGATACTCTTTCAAGGGTGTTATAAAATGAGTTGTCACCAATTACCATCTTATTTTATTTTTTAATTCTTTAATTTTAATTTTTTTAGCCTTTTGGGTCACACCCACCATTGCACATTCCTGGCTTGTGCACTCAGGAATCACTCCTGGCTGTCCTGGGGGGACAATATGGGATGCTGGGAATCGAACCCAGGTCAGCTGCGTGCAAGGCAGATGCCCTACCCGCTGTGCTATCGCTACAACCCCTCTTTTAAACTTTTGTATTTTGGGGAAAGAGAATCTGGTTATGCCTAGCCTGGTCCAAGGAAGATGGGTCCCCTTGATGTACTTCCAGTATACTGATCAGGTAGCCCACATCACCTTTCATTTATGACTCTTACCCATATCTCTACCTGTGCAGTTAGGACCTCAGACACAGAATTGTGCCTTACCTAACTTAGTCCCTTAGTCCCTTGCTTCTTCACTTCTTTCCCCATTCAAACTCCCAGCTTTGTCCTGTCATATATACTGCCACCTGCTGCCAGCCCCTTTACAAAAGCCTTTATCAATAGAACCTTTGGGTCTAAATGTTCCTTCTGCTGCTTCACTATTTTGTGTTGTTTGTGTTGATAGTAAAGCCATGGGTTAGGAATGTGGGGTGGATGTGTGGGTGAGAGGGAGTAGGCAGGAGAGGCACTCACCCAGGAGTTTCTCACCCAGACATTTCAGGTTTTCCTTTTTTAAGCCAATATTGTGACTGCATTAATAAGTTGGGTTCTTATTATGATTTCAAGACTCCCTTCAGCAGGAAACTTTGGGGTAGGAGTGGGTGAATGGCTTTACCTATATGATCTGTAAATTACTCAGCGGATTGGGTGATTGTGAGGTTGCCAGTGGGGTGGGTGAGAGGGGTGAGCACCCCTATGCAAATCAGCACTCTGGAGTCCTGCCTTCATTAGGGCTGGGGTAGAGGGTGTCCAGGGTTTCCTGGCCTCATTCTTTAGTGGTGAGTTTAAGTCACAAGAGTGGAAATTTAAGGCATAGGAAGAGAGGCAGTGGAAAAAAGGGGGGAAAAAAGGAGGAAACCGGCATCTTTGCATCTTATCAATTATCTAAGAACTACCTAGGATTTGTAAAACAAAGGCACTTTATGGTGGAGAGCAGCCTGGCTTTTTATCTAGTCCTCTGGCCACCTTGTGTTATTCAAGTTAGCCCTCTTTGAAGTAGAGGCTTCTGCCTCAAAGCTTAAGTCAGGCACTTGCATTCCAGAGAAGGCTATGATTAGGGTTTACACTATGCTCTTAAAGCTGGAGTGCAAAACTCTGAATTTTCACCAGTATATTCTTTTAATCTCCCAGCCATTTTAGCCCATGGGACTAGAAATGATTTCCAGTCTCTTTCTTTTTTAACCCTACACTATATTACCCCTTTCATTGCCTTTCTTGGCTTCTTTGGTATGCTGCATTGTTCTATATTCCAGTTGACTGCTTTATTTCAATCTCTTGCTTGCTAATCCCTGTGAAAACACGCATTTGCATTCATTGGCTTGTAGTATTTTGGACTCTCAGTTTTAGAGATTCTGATTCACTTTTTTTAAACTGATATGGTAGGTCATTGTCACTTTAAAATGACCATGCTATCCAGTTCTTTCTACTTCTGCGTGCATACACTTTGATCAAGCCATCCAGCCTTCAACCTGGCATTAATTGTCATGGTTTATAGCTTACATGGCTCTTTTAAGCTTGAGTTGTCCTCAATCCAGACTTCGTTTCTCAGGAAATTTTTTTGTACCTTTTCTTTATAAGTCTGGGCTGTTCCAAGATCTTGTTAGGTTGTTTAATTTAGCTTCCTTGTTGCTCACCTTATTTCCCAACAGTATCCCAGGGTGTGTGGTGGTACTTGGCAAAAAACCACGAAATGTATTTTAGGTGATTTTATTGTTGTGGGGACATCATAGAGTTAACTTACAAAACCTAGGTGTTATTGCCTACTGCATTGATTTTCGATTACTGGTCTGTGGATTGGTGCTGGTGCACAGGTAGTGTGAAGGTTGAAAATCACTGTGCTGCAGATAGGGATCATCTTCTTATATGTTTTTTGTGGTCAACAAGCATTATTATTATGTGGTGCATGGCCCTGTATACAGTGGAATATTATTCAACCATGATAAGAATCTTGTCATGTGACTATTCATAATAGTTCCTGATGATGATATGCTAAAGGAAATGTCAAATAGAAAAGTACAAATCCAAATCGTTTGAATTTTTTTCATTAGAAGTTGTGTTACTTGTCATATTAGATATTAGTTATGTTTTTGTGATGCCAAATGATCTTTAGATGATACCAAGTTATCTTTGGATGATGCCAGGTTTGGATAAAAGTAAGTAAACTACTTAACTTTTTTTTTTTATACTTGACCTGTAAAATAAATTCCTGAGTTAAATAGTTTATTTAAGTACTTGGAGTAGAAATAATGAAATTTGGTCTGGCAGTATCCCTTACGTGTGGAATCTTAAATAACACAGTTTGTAGAAATAGATAAGAGGTGGTTAGCAGGGGTGGCAGGATGGAGGAGCTGGGAAATATAGACTGGAAAATACAAGCCTTCAGTTACAATTTGAATAAATTCCATGTGTAATGTGATTGCAGTTAATACTTCTGTAATACAGACTTGAAAATTTCTGAGAGCAAATCTTAAATGTTCTCACCACAGTAAAGAAATGATAATTTTTGTGATATGCTGGAGATGTCAACTAACTATACAGTGGTAGTGCTTTTGCTTTACTGAATTACTTCGAATCAGTGTATTATACTCCTTAAACTTACACAGTGCTACACGTCAAATAGATCTCAGTGAAGCTGACAAATACATAAACATAAATCAGTTAACAGAAAATGGAAATTGCTTCCTAACACATCAGAGTATCACAAAAGAAAATATATTTATGAACCACGAACACAGACACACTATATAGTTTAAAATAATTTTCTGACTAAAATATTTATTATGGCTTCAGTGAATTTTTTCTATGAATGCATCATGGCAGTTGTGAGTTATTGTCCTGATTGTTGCAAAACATCTCTGCTGAAATAAGAAAACAAGTTTAGAAAACTTATAAATCGGGGTAGTAAACTTTCATTATTGACAAAACTCCAGCCATTTTGTATAGAAGTGGTTTAATAATTTACCTAAAATGCAATATTTAAAACTTTCGAGATGGGGACAATTTTGTTGATTTTCATGGATCGAAGGATCATCATCTGACATACATTAAACTTTACGGTCAAACTCAGGAAAAATTGTTCCAATGGGAAATATTTACATAAAGACCTTATGAATTTTGTATAGGTGGCAGAAGTATATTGCTAGGCTAAATATGAGTTCAGCTTAAATTGAAGAAAGTTCTTTGCATTTTTTCCATTTGATGGTATTTCA